GTAGAGAGATCCCTGCAATCCCCCTCTGATCAGCCACTTGATTCTCCCTCAGTCTGTGGGCTGGAAACTCAGGAGGCAGCCACCACCCCAGGGCCATGCTCTCGGGGAACTGGACCTGAGACCCCACTCTCCTCTCTCAGCACCACAGAAACAGACTTTCCCCACTGACATTCTAAGTTGTCCCTAGCATTTGTGGGTTGAGAGGTCTGGAAAGCACCATAGCTGCCTGCTATTCAGTCCTCTGAGGCCTGCTCCAGGTTTGCTGCGGCCTGCTGAGCCCATGCCAAATTGTGCTCCTCTTCCTGCACGGTGAGATATACCTTTCCAATCTACCATCCAGGTGGTCTTGGGCTGGAAATTTGTTTCACTCTCTCTTTTTGTGGGTTCTGCTGTTTTAGAATTTGTTTAGAGCCATTTTTTAATAGGTATTTGGAGAGGTTTGGGGGAGAGCTTAAGCAAGTCGCTGCTTTCACTCCACCATCTTGGCCCTGACTCCCCAGCTGATACTTTTCAAACACCACTCAAACAAATTGCTTTGAAAGGTACATTCCTACGAAACAGTTATTTTATTAGCGGCTAGCATAAAGGACCCTTCAGTTTTGAACTTAGGCCACTAACAATGACCACGATAACTGATCAGAGATTTGTTGAGTGTCCATGCTGATTTTATTAACATGTACCTGTTGTAGATTTGGGGTGCTAGGAATCCTGAAATGCAAGGGTACAGGGCGGGTCTGCCTCAAAAGAATTTGGCCATTCAAGCCTTCTTTTAGTTAGAGTAGTGAGGTTTTATTATACACCGATTAGACGGGCAAGATTTCTAGTAAATCTTCACTATTGTAACACCAATAGAAGAGGGAAGGACTCCTAGTGAGTCTGCCTAATTTAATGGGAGTAAGATTGGTACTTTTATACAGAAAATGACAGTAAGGAAATTTGGATGGGATTAAGGAGTAGTAAATAGCCTGGAGTGGTGGTGGGGGCATAGATAAAGGGTCTAGATGGGATTAAAGGGTGTCAAGTAAGCTAATTAAGTAATCAAGCTTCCTTGGGCAGAGGCACCAGTGATCCGGGACTGGGTTGTTTTCAGTGACATGGTCTGTTCCTTTTAGGGGTCCAGCATGAATCCCACAACCCCATCATACCAAGTATCAAAATGTATATTCATTATAGCATATTTGTGATAAGTGAAAGTTGAAAATAAAATGTATCCATTGATTGGAGAATGGCTGAACAAATTTAGGTATATGAATTTAATGGAATATTACTGGTTATAAGGAATGACAAATATGAATAAACATGGGAAGACTTGCATAAAATTAGGGAGGATGCAAAAGAACAATATACACATGACTACAGCAATGTATATCACTACTCCATACACTCAGACTAGCGACTTACCAAGAACTAAGAAAAGAATTAATAAAAAGAAAGAAGAATGATAATAGGGAAAATGTTAGAGCACCTGATTGAGACAACTCAATCCTGAACTATTTAAACAAGTCCAGCAAGTGACAGTCAAAAAATGGGAAATGGATAATACACATGCTATCAACACCAACTATGACGTTTTAGGTAGAAGTTTGTTGTTGTTTTTCAGTCCTTTAGTCATGTCCAACTCCCTGTGACCCCAGGGTTTTCTTGGTAAAGATACTAGAATAGTGTGCTGGTTCCTTCTTTGGTTTATTAAAGCAGGTTAAGTGACTTGCCCAGGGTCACACAGCTCATGAGTGTCTGAGGCTGGATTTGGATTCAAGTTGTCCTAACTTCAGGCCCAACACTCTAACCAGAGACATCTAGCTATAGACGTTTATATAGAGGTTTAGGCCATTTAAATTCCGTGAGATGTGATTTAGCTACTTTTATTCTTCTTGTCCTGGGGATTTCTCTATCCTCTGTGTTTTAGTTGTTGTTGTTATTGTTTTCTTTTCCCTCTGAGAACTTCTCAGATATCTTTGCATACTCTCCCTTCATGAGAAACCCTCTGGATCATCTAGTGTCCTTTTCAGTAGATCTTCCTTCTAACCTCTTTCTTAAGAGTCCTACTTTTATAGACCATGGCCAATTAAAATGCAAGAATTCTGTTATTTTTGAGGTATCAACTTAAGGACCCTTAATGCTGCTGCAAGAAAGCTGTGCACTTGAGTTTGTGATGGAAAAAAATGCCAATGAGGACCCAGGACAAAGAGAATTCATATCTGGTCCAAGAGATAATAGGAGAGTGAGGGGCTCACCCAGCTCCTCTTGGAGTATGACTAAGCAAGTTGACCACATAAGCTTACATAATTTTCATTTTCTGACAAAGGAAAATATATCAGTTTCTCTTTAGCGACCACATTCTTTTTTTTTTATGGATAAACTTGAACAGTAATTTCTTGTTTGCTTCTGGCATAAAAAACATTGAGTTCAGAGAAGCATAGGAAGACTTGAATGAACAGTTGCAGAATGAAGTGAGCAGAACCAGGAATGAATGAATGAATGAATAAATAAGTAAAAAACATTTAGTAAGTGATGATTATGTGCTAAGCACTGAGTGGTAAAAACAGAAAAGTAAGATAGTCTCTGCTTTCAAGGAGCTCACATTCTAATGGCAGAGACAATACATAGGGAAAGTTTCACCTACAAGCAAATGGAAAAGTCCTGAGGTCCTTAGGGTTCAGCAGCAAAGCTTGTCTTTTTCTTTAATGCCATTTCCATCGATAAAATTATGTCAGTTTCAGAACTATTTGACAGTATCAAGGATGTTGATAGCAAGAACTTTCTTTCCTGGGTCTTTAGCAGCTGTGGCTATAGCATGGATAGGGTGTTATACTGCATCTCCACAGGGGTTATTTCATAACCAAGATGATGGATGCAGGCACTGTGCTGGAAGCATTGTTATTCCCAAGGTTCTTGAGTTCAGGGTCCTGGGCCGTTTCCTTTGGTGTGTGAGAGATGATGGTCAAGGTAGTGGTGATGGTTTGGTTTGCCTAGCACATGCTTCCTTTTTCCTCTCCTTTAAAGGTTCTTTGCTATTTTAGCTTGCTTGGCATGCCTACCCTGTGGGTGGCATTTGGTGTAGAGTGGGTGGGAATGGCTTACGTCTTTTCTAAGAGTTACTCCTCCAGATGTTAGCTGTGAGGGCTGGTCTAGAAATGTAGAACCTGTTGTAAATGAGGGTGGTGCTGCTACTTCCATGTGCTCATGGTGATTGTTGAGCAGTTGTAAGAATGGTAAGGAAGGTGGCCCCTTCTTCATAATGATTTTTCCCTTTAATGATGGTAGTAGGGGTTGAGACTAGAAGCAGATATGGTGGTTTGGGGAGACATTGCTATTCCCAAAGCTCTTGGGTTCAGGGTCCTAGGATATCTCCATCACAGTCTGAAGAGAACCTGGAGACAATATCTATAGTAACTAGAATAATGGAAATTTTAAATAATGAATGAAAAACAGGTAAACTTAGATTAACTGCAATGAATGATTTCTATCCTGAAAAAAAATGATGAAATATAAGACAGGTGGGGGGACTTTAAGAGGGGAATGTCATATCATGTTTTGTTCAGCAGTTTTCTTTGTTATAAGAGAGGGTTCACTGTAAGTCAGGATGAATCTGGAAATGACCATAGTATAAAATAGATATTAATCTAAATTAAAAAAACTTGATGACATTTAATATGTCCAAGTATGGTTTTCATGTACTGAAACACTGTTCAACCAGGAGATCTCATTTCAATTTTTTTTTCCCAAAGCAAGATACATTATTAAATTTGAAGTCAGTGATGCAGTTCCTAGGAGGAAGTTAAGTAATACAGGTGCTGTACTTTCTTTTATATAGTTTAATTTACTCTAGGAATTAAGCTCGGAGAATCTAGGTAAATGTGAAGTTCAGATGATCATTGGATTTTTTTCTTTCATATATTGAATAGCTTCAAGGACAGATGCTAGATCACATTCAATTCAAGAAGAAATCTTTTAAGAAATATCCATAGTCACCATTGATGGATCTGTGAATGGGAAAGGAAGGGAAGGGAAGAGAAAGGGAGGGAAGTGGTTAGACTCTAGCCATTCTGAAAAGAAATATGGAACTATATCCCCAGAGTCACTAGATTTTGCTTACTCCTTGACTCAGCAGTGCTGCTATGAAGCATGTATACCAAAGAGATAAAAGATTGAGTGAAAGATCCATATGTACAAAAATATTCATAGAAGCTCTTTCTGTTATAGCAAAGACCTGGTAACTAGAGGGATGTCCATTAATTGGGGAATAGCTGAAAAAAATAGTGGTATCTGAATATAAACTAGATGATAAAAGGGGTGGATTCAGAGAAAGGCAAAAGATAAAACACCTTGCTTTCAAGTTCACAGTCTGATGGGGAGACAACATACAAACAACTGTATATGCACAAGATTTATACAGGATAAATTTGAGGTAATCCACACAGGGAAAGCACTGATATTAAGGGTGAATGGGAAAGCTGCTTATAGATGGTGTGATTTTAGTTCAGACTTGAAGGGAGCCAGGGAATACAGGAAGTGGAGATGAAGAAAGAGAGAAAACGCTAGGCATGGGGCACAGCCAGTGAAAATGCCCAGAGTCAGGAGATGCAGTTTTCTTAATCAAGGAATAGCGCAGAGGCCAGTGAACTGGATCACAGAGTATAAGGGGGTGAGTAAGGTGGAAGAAGACTAACAGGGTAGGAGGGAATCAGGTTGTGAAGATCTTTGAAGCAGACTAGGGAGGCAGTATAATTGGGAAGTCTCATTGAGACTCAGAAGAAAGAAGTATGAAAAGAAGACTTAAGATAAAAGCAAATCCCAGAAACCACAGTGGAAGGAGTAAGTAGTATAGCAGGACATGGTAGGGATGGTAGTTGGGGGATGAGGTACTGGGGGGATTGAGAATGGTGTTTGAATAATGTCATCCAGTGGTTCAGAATCACTTGGATGGAAAGGGTATTATGGGGTGGGAGCCTGTTAATCATTGAGGAACGAGTTCATGGAGGTTATCAATTTCCCCACAGGTCTCACGGTGTACTCTTTTCAAGGTCTTAGGCAGCTCAGATGAGGAGACCAATGAAGGGAGCTGATGGAATAGTATTTCTCTACCTCACCTACAGACAGGAAACATCCAAGGGAGAAGACCAGCAGCATGATGGAATGGAGTGTGTGTGTGTACGTGTGTGTGTGTGCACGCGCGTGCATGTGCATGTGTTCTCCTTCCTCCCCACTCCCCATAGGAAGAGGTAAGTAGAGGAGAAGGGCAAGTGATGGAGTAATTTTTACACTGAATATGTAAAGCTGTTTGTTTGTTATCCTTCATTCTTGAAGAGGACCCAGATGACATCACTCTTGACTGATCAGACCAGTATGAGTTTGCAATACGCTACCACATGCTGGGCACAAATAGTCCGGGTGAATATTTGGGGTGGATTCTCTAAATGTGTGCATCTCACATTCCTTCTGAACTGCTGCAATTCTGCTTTGCTCATAGAACATAGCACCTTCTTTGATGTGTGCATACCATGCTGGGTGTGAGAGACTTTGCCAGTCTCTCCCATGTTACACAATCAATTCCAACGTTCTTCAGAGAGATCTCAAGAGCGTCCTTCTTCTGACCACCATGTGAACACCATCCTTGCGTGAGTTCTCCATAAAATAGTTGTTTAGGCAAGCGTTCATTTGATATTCGAACAATGTGGCAAATAACTGTGAAAGACTTAAGAACTCTGATCAGTCCAATGACCAACCCTGATTCTGGAGGGCCAATGATGAAACATGCATCCTACCTGCAGACATAGAGGTGATAGACTAGAGGTGCAGAATGATTGACATACATATGTATATATATATATACATATATATATATACACACACACATATATTTGCATGGCCAACATATAGATTTATTTTGCTTAACTATCCTTATTTGTTATAAGAGAGGGTTTTGGGGAGGTGGGGGTGGGGAAGAGCTTTAAGGAAAGAGTAAGGAAAATGATAGTGATATCAAAAATAAAAGAAGAGGAAGAGAGAAGAGTTCTAAAGGGATTAAGCTCTTTTATGAAGCACTTTACTGTTTTCCAGGCACTCTGCTAGGTGCTTTACAAACAGTAACTAAAAAAAAAAGTGTCAAAAATGCCTTTCAGAGAACAAAAGGTAGTTGAAAAAGAGATCCAGAACAATTTTTTTTTATAGGTGAGGCAATCTGGGTTAAGTGACTTGCCCAGGGTCACAGGCTAGTAAGTGTCAAGTGTCTGAGGCCAAATTTGAACTCAGGTCCTCCTGACTCCAAGGCTGGAGCTTTATCCATTGCGCCACCTAGCTGCCTCCCAGAATGATTTTTAAACTAACATACTGAATTCATTATTTTCTTTAAAACAAAACAAACAATAAGTAATAGAAATTCATGGCTTCATTTATAATCTCCTTTTTCTTTTCTTTATATATGGAAATATTTATGTTTTTTGGTGTTTGTCCAAATAACATTTTAATAACATTTCAAAATGATATTAAAAAAATAAATAATAACCATAGTAGAGATATTTTACATCAGTGGTTAAAGTCAGAGCATGAAGCTTTAATTCCTTGACTCAAGAGAGGCAGAGTTGACGTTCTGTCGTGGAAGGAATAAGGTTGTATTCTTGGTTAGACAGAAAGACATTTAACAGAGGTGCTTATAATACTGCCAGTCTTCTTTTTTTCTCCCTAAGAAAGAGGGTTGAATCCTCTCAGTTCTTGTACTATTGACAGTTTGAAGCCCCAAAGTGCTATAATGTATAACATGGAAGAGAAAACTTCAGCTGGAAAAATACTTGGGTTAGGTGTTACCAGATGTCTGCCCCTTCTATTAAAGAAGGCCCCTATAGAGAGCGTTAGTTTATTAACTGTATCCTGTTGGGCCTCCAGGAGAAGTTGGCTGCGAAATGAATCTCTAAATTGCTGAAAGATGTAACCTTTTGGACAGGATTGTTACCACTGACTACTGAATTTCATTTCTGGTAAACACCAAATACAACTGATTCTAGGTTGGTTATACTTGATATTAAAACACTTTTTTTCTGTCTACTAACAGAATAATAACTGAGTAATTTTAAACCTATCTCACGTAATTGGTGTGAAGATTAAGTAAAATATGGAGGTAAAGGAACTCTGCTAATTGTAGAGTGCTATGCAAATGTAAGGAGTTATGATGTTTGTGAGGGTATAATGGATAGAAAGCTAGCTTCCTAGTTAGGAAGACCTGGGTTCAAATGCTGACTTTTACACATAGTGACTGTGAGCATCTGGGAAAATTGCTCAGTCTCTCAGTTCCTCAGGCAACTCTCCATACGCTATAAACTACTGATCAGTACTCCTCTGCATTGGAGAGGGAGGGCCTCAGACATTATGAGGCCTGGGTCAAGGCACTATCTGTAAAATGGGTATAATAAGAGTGCTCACCCCATAGGGTTTTTGTGAGGCTCAATCAAAATTATCTATCTCTCTACCTATCTATATCTATATAGACATATCTCTCTATATATTATATCACTATATAAATGTTAGCTTTTATTACTGTTCTTGATGTTATTATTTTTATGCCAATAGAATCTCAAGTCTGTTAAAAAAAAAGATGATTATTCTGACTCTTTTCCTTTTATTTTCTTCTCTCCTCCCTCCCACCCCTTCCATTGTCTTTGCTTTTCTCCTACCCACCTTCTTTTCTAGAGTCCAATTGGATGGAGAATAGGGGACATGAACTTGGGATTGTGGAGGGGTAATTTCTATTTTCCCTTCCTTTTCTTCCTCTATCTCAAACCCTAAAGCTAAACTTTTATTTTCAGTCTTTGTGAGTAAGCATTAATATTAACAGCTGTACTTCATATATCTAATTCTCTGGTATTATGACAATATAGATAGGGTGAGGAGGGAGATTGTAATAAAGATAATTTAAAAAGATGGATAATTTGCACATCATTTGAACTGGGCTTTTAAATTAATTATAGACCTCATCGTTTTGAAATAGCAATTTTATTCAAAGAAAAAATTCAATGCCTACTATGTGCAAGTTATAGCAGATTTCTTTTCTTTTTTTTAGGATAGGCAATGGGGTTAAGTGACTTGCCCAGGGTCACACAGCTAGTGTTATGTGTCTGAGGCTGGATTTGAACTCAGGTCCTCCTGAATCCAGGGCTGGTGCTCTATCCACTGCACCACCTAGCTGCCCCATAGCATATTTATTTTCAATCAATGAAACAACAAGTGTCTGTTGAGTGCTTATTATGTCCCAGGCACTGAAGATGAAAAAATATTAAGATGGAAAAAATAGAAACAATGTTTGTCTTCAACAAATTTGCAATCTGCTTATCTTTCTGGTTATATTTAATTTGGGTGACCATTCAAAATAGTTTGTATTCTTGTACTATGCTCATATCTAGTAAATGATAGCCAAACTATAACTAGCAATTTTGACCCTGCATGGCCTAAAATCAACTTTCTAATCATTATATGAAAATAGTACAAGAAATAATTAAGACAAATTCAACTGAGTGGAAGAGGGAGGTCCTTATTATGGTGGGTCACAGAAGGTATTTATCTGGTAGCTTCCCAAGGCAGCTGGTGGTAGTAGTTGCTGATGTACCTGGAGTCAGGAAAACCTGAGTTCAAATCTGATCTCAGACATGTATTAGCTGTGGGGCCATGGGCAAGTCATTCAATTTCTATTTCCCTTAGTTTCCTCAACTGTAAAATGGGGAAAATAAGAACACTTACCTTTAGAATTGTTGTGAGGATCAAATGAGATACTATTTGTGAAAAGCTCTTGATACAGTGCCTAGCATCTAGTAGGTGCTACATGAATGTGTATTCTCATCTCTTCCTTTTAAAATTATTTATTCTTGCTAACTATCTGGAGAAGTACAAGTATTCAACTTGGGTGTCCTCTAAGTTTTGGTAAAAAAAAAAACTGGGACAAAGCCCCAATAAGCCAACCCTAATTATGGGTAATCAAGAATGACACAGTGCTTGGCTCATAGTAGGTGTTATATAAGTGTTAGTTAATATTAGCATTACCATTATTATTGTTAGGTTAGCTATCAAGAGTAAACTAATCTAGGATAATTTATGAGATGGTTACTGTGTATATCAATAACTGTAGGTTAATTAATTCTTAGATTAGAAGTTGAGAGGGACATATCTAATCCCCTCATTTTAAAGATGAGAAAATTTAGGACCAGAGAAGTTAAGGGACTTAACCAAGAGTTAGGAGATTTGGTTTCTGAGGTCTGTCCACTACCGATGAGTTGTGCAGCCCTAAGCAAAACTCTAGACCTTTCTAGGTCTCAGTTTCCTCGTGAGTAACATGACAAGGTTGGATTTAGATGACTTCTAAATTGTGTTCTCCCTCTACTAATTTGTGATTCTGTGCAGGTGACAGGTAGATGACACAGTGAATAGAGTGCCAAGCCTGAAAGTAGTAAGACTTAGCTTCCTGAGTTTATATCTGGCCTCAAATACTTACTAGCTGTATGTCCCTGGACAAGTCATTTAACCCTGTTTGCCTCAGTTTCTCATCTGTAAAATGAGCTGGAGAAGGAAATGGCAAACGACTCCAGTATGTTTGCCAAGAAAACCCCAAATGGGGCCATGGAGAGTCAGCATGACTGACGTGACTCAACAACAATGTATCTGTGGGAGGGAAATCATAATGGGTAAATCAGAACAGGCAAGAAGTTGCATGATAGAGTTTTAGATAGGAAGTCAGGCAGACTTACCTTTGAATTCCACCTCTGATCTACATTAGTTATGTGTCCGTGAAAAATCATTTAGCCTCTCTGAGCATCAGTTTGTCTTTTGCATGTGGCATTTATGATGCTAGTTCTCCCCTCAGTCCCCTCGGATTGTATGACTGGAGTGCTGCCTTCTTTAAGCCTAGACAAAGGAGGGGTATTGCTTTATCAACTCAGCAGTGCTCTATGTTAGCCATCAGCCTGGCCGTGTCTTCTTTTTGGTGGGGAGGGAAGGGAGCAGTTGCAAGTTCATTCATGGAATGGACAAGTGGTATAGTGTAAGACTCTAGTCCCGGAGTCAGGAAGATTTGAGTTCAGAAAAAGGAAAGGTCATTTTGTGGAAGGGGACATTAGAGAAGAGAAAGGTGGTATTTGGGATGGGCCTTGAATGATGGTATGGTAGCCCAGACACATATTTCTGTCATTCTCCCACCCCGGATTGCAAGCTGCATGACAGCAGGGAATGGTATGAATGTAGAAGTGCTTAGCTCATGTTTGTGTAGATTGGTAGATGACTCAGACCACTAGACCTGGAGTTAGGAAGATCTGAGTTGAAATACACCCTCAGGTACTTACTAGCTGTGTGATTCTGAGCAAGTCACTTAACCTCTGCCTCAGTTTCCTCATTTGTAAAATGAGGATAATAATAGCATCTGTCTCACAGAGTTGTGAGAATAAAAATGAGATAATATTTGTAAA